CATAAAGATGAAACAACTTGAGTTTCCTTAAATCAATCAATCTGCCTCTATGGAGAACCTTTACTTATTACTTATTTCCTTACACTGGACCAAATTTGGCTCTGAAATAAATGGCATCAATACCATGAAATCTCTGAGAGACATGCTCTCAAGCAGTCAAGTGAAATCTGGCTCACTGTTTTTTGCCTAGGAAGGGCAACTGCAGGTCAATTCTCTACAGGTGTGTACCTCTCTGTATGATAGTCAGACATCTCAACTTCTCTCACAAGCCCTGCATGTGCTCTTTTAGCCCATCCCAAACCAACACCCCATTTTGCAGTGTATCGAGTTAACAGGTTTGCTGTGGTGCATTTTAAAACAACTCAACATAGTCTCCATGGCCTTTCTGAAACAAGGGTGGATGTGCCTTGCAGCCATGGCTTTTAACCCGTGCCCTGGAGTGTAAGAGCTACATCCTTGGCTGGTGTAAATTAGCGCTGTCCCGCTGACATGCTGAAGCATCACTTCGGTGGGGTTACGCTAATTGACACCTTCCCTGCACATGCGGCACTAAACCTTGAATGGATTTATAGAGGTTTCAGGATGAAGGGAAGGCAACTCAGCGAGCCATGGCAGGGCAGTAAGGAGCACCCCAAAGGCTCCTATCTCCCGAGGCTTTTGCCCAGGCCTGCTTCCTTGTGTACAAATGTGAATGAGTGAGTGACTGCTTGCTGCCAAACTGGAAATGTTATGTAGGGATTTACTGGCATGTTATTGGCATGTTACATGTTTACTGGCATGTTATCATTCCTAGAAGAGAAGAAAAAAAAAAACTTGACTGCACATTGTTATTATTAGTGTTGTGATTCTTATTTAATTTTTTTGTAATACAAAGTCGACTTTTTTATTTGAATTTTTTTTTTTTTTATTTATTGGTCTGAAAGCCATTTCAAAGGTATAATAATATATTTGGTGTAATTTAATTGGTGCAACATTATTTTACAGCTCCGGCCAAAATTGTTTGGTGTTATTTTTTGGGTTTTCTGTTTTTTTCTCCCAGTCCTTGGTTGGTTTGAGCTCTATGAGGCACACAGGGAAAAACGCTGGATAATCACCCAAAGTGTTTGTATTTTTAATCTGATACTGTTTTTTATTAAATAAAATGAAGTTAATGTAACTGTGAAGAGTCTCTGTCTCTCCCTTTTCTTTTTTATTGTACATCAGCATAGGCCAATGCCAAATGGTAATGAACTTGTCATGCAGAAATACAGCAGCATCTCAGCACTTTGTACCAAGTTGTTTATGCAAAGCTTCTTGGCTCGTTTGTACATTTGAATATAATGTGGGTGGCCACAGACACTCCCTTGCTACGAAGTGTTTGGCACTACAAAGCACCCAGAGCTTTCAGCTGTGGAAATGTTTGGTGGAGAATAGCTGACTGGGGTTTTTCTGTTTGAGATAAATGAGGTTTGTGGGCCAGGTGTGCTGTAGGTGAGACAGAGCTGGCTGGCTGAACAGACACAGCATAACTCATTTGTAGCCCAGAGACAGATGGTCATGGTTCTTTTCCCTCTGTTGGGAAGAGGGGACAGTTTATTGACAATGTACCTGTAGGTAAAATTTAGGGGTTTGGAGCAATTATTTGAGCAAAAAAAAACTGATGGCCATCCACTGCTGTCAAATGTGGGTTGATTTCACTCAGGTGGCTTTGAGCAGCCAGCATAATCAGCTAGTGAGAGGGAAAAAGGGGAGTCAGTTTTCATTTTTTTGGAGTCCCCATGATAACCAGAAGGCTTTAGATTGTTTTTCTTGGAAAACAGTTGGGCATCATAAGGGAAGCTGGGTGTTAGGTATGCTGTGTGTGCTGGGGACTTGTTAAAATAAAGGAAATGGTTGGCAATGTCTTCATGTTGGCTCTGAGCAAGACACCATTAAACTTCACCTTTGATGCAGCCAGCCAAGATACCTGTAGTGTATATTCTGCTTTTTAAATTACAGGCAGTTTGGATCAGGATCCGAGGTTTGGATATCATGAAGAAAAAAAAGGCTTTTTTTTTCCTGATTCATTTTCTCTCTCTAGCTTTTTAATGCAAGAAACCATGGCTGTAGGTGCTAGATTTCTTCATTACGACCACTTAAAAACCACTGGGAATAAAGGGAAAAAGCCAATGATGCAGAAAGGCAAACAGCCGTTAATACATTACGCAGGGAATGATTATCTGCTGTGTGCTAATTGAGTCAGGCATTATATGGTGTATATTCAAAGTCAGCACACGTGTTCTTGTACCTGAGGTGAAGAAAGTCTAATTGTGTGGGTGCTGGGTGGTGGAAAATGTGCTCTAAGTCTCCTCTGTAATAGCAATTATGTACCAACTTTTTTTTAATTTTTTTTTTTTGAACACACTAGGAAAAAAAGGGAAGCTGAGGGCAAACTATTTGTTTCATTTTAAAAATAATGACTTTTAGAAGGTTCTGGATGGCTGGGCATGCTGCGCGTTTGTGGCAGGCTCTGAGGAGTAATTATGTACATGTTTGTACAGCTCTGAGAGTGCACACTTCTGGGGTGGGGTGGGAGCTGAGAGTCTGATTTTCCTATTTATTACAGTAGATAAGTGTACAGCAATATGCCTTAGCTGAAGTTACATAGTAAGTCCGTAGACAGACCTGATCTTCTTTCGTGCTTGCTTCATGGGCATTCCAGTGTTTCTCAGGAATCATTGAGTTTTTATGGATTGGGCAAGACAGGAGCAAGGAGGCAAGACAAGCCTTGGGAGCTACACAGTTGAGTGACAAAAGCAGTAGTGTGGGTTTTTTCTATACAGCCACAAATAGTTTTGTCCATTATAACCCTTTGTTAACCAATTTCTGATCTTGCAAAGCCTGTGCATGCGTGTGTATAACATGGTAATGCCAGGGATCCCTCTCACTGCTGTGGTGGGCTTTGCTGAAGTCCAGGGGCCAGCTGACATGGGCAGTGCTGCCTGATGCTGAGCAATTAGGTATCTGTAGGGCACTTGGAGGCCAGCACAGAAACTTGCAGGACAGCCTGACACTTGCTCCTCAAAGCTCACTGGCCTCAAGCCACTGGTGCAGAGGGAGAGAACTTGTGCCAACACAGCGGGATCTCCCAGTGCTGTCACAGCCTGAGTTGATGCCCATAACCAGCCCATAGTGCTGGCAAGAGAAGCAAAATTCTCAGAGCAAAGTGATACAGCAGAATTTCTGGCCATAAAAGTTTGCACTTGGTGTGTAGTTGTGCCTCTTCTCACAGAAGAGACTGGTCTCTGTTTAGAGAATCCAGGGATTGTGAAAGCAAGGCTCTAAATTGGAGGGAAGAGATGGCATTTTTGGTTATTGCAGACGAGTGTACTTACAGATAAATTTGCTAGTGACTCCATAAGCATGTTTGAGGGAGAAGTCCAATACTCATGTAAATTTGGTGTATATGAGAAGATTATCAGTTCAGTTAAACATCTCGGTGATTCACGGCTCTTTTTAATGAGATGCTTCTGGAGACAAATCTGCAGGAATGCTTTTGTTGAGCCAACAGAAACTCTAGTGTTTGAATCAGCCCAGGGTCTCTGGTACCTGTCCCCAGGGTCAGTGGTTTCAGTTAAAAGTTTTACCACAGAAGAGAACAAGCCGTGTTTCCACTGGATTGATGGTATTTAGAATTCAACTAGGGCTTTTTTTTTTTTTTTTATTGTCTGCTGGAGCTGTCTTTTCCTCCTTGCCAAACCAAGACATCTTTCTCATAAATGACTGAGTAATTTGGCTGGAGAAGCAACTTTTTTGGACAGATGATCTGAGCATTTTGTTTCTGGCTATCTCTCTCTAGCCCTTACTCCCGACCCCATATTTCCTGGAATTTCATCAGTGCAGAAAACCCTTTGATTTGCGTGTCATCTGGCCATACAGAGCCCTGAACTTCTAAGGAAATTATATTTATTTGCACTGATGCTTAATTATTCCTTGGAAAAGCATTTTACAAGACAATTTTATGTATCACCAGAAGATTCCCCGTACCAATACAAATGCTGGGCTTAGAGCTCACACAGAATTGTACCAGGCCCAGGGCCATGAAAGAATTAGATAGCTGACTGCCATCAAAATAAGGAAATCAGCTGTGGGTGCTGGCCAGGGGTGCCCTTATAGGTCAGGACATCACCCTACTACTTCATTCAGGAAAACAGCTCTACTGCCAGTGGGAGCTCTGGGTTTTTTTGACAGTAAGCACCTCTGAAAGCTCATGCCTGAGCTTTCTCACAATGCACATCCAGCACTGAAGTCTTTGCTGTCAGACAGCACGTGGAAATGTTGGGTTCAACCTGCCTTGGCATTTTCTTTTTGCCCTTTTGCCTTTCACTTTAACCTATTTACTTAACAGAAACAACGTGTCTCTCTCTCTCTCACTCACATAGTCCAAATCGTTTGCCATCCTGTTTAGTTTTGCTGCATGGACTGTGCAATAGCCTGTCAGGACGGTGGGTTGAACTTTGCTCACAAGGTCCTTTTGCAGCACTAACCCTGGCTGCGGCACAGCCTCTGCTTTGGAGGCTGTTTGGATCCTCCTGCAGTAGTGGCTCTAGTGCTGGTGCTTTGCAGCAGGTAACTTTTCTTCCAGGTGCAGAAACTGTGGGACCTTGAGCTAATAGTGGGGAGCTATCTGGAAGAGACACCATGCTGAGGACAATTACAAAGCTGGGCTGCTAGGACAAATGTGTTAGACCAATCAAATACAAATCCCTAGAAGTTGGTGGTGAGATTATACCCTCCCCAGCAGGAATCCACTTAGAAAACTGTGCTCCTTTCATAGGCTAGGGAGATGCCATTGCATTTAGAAATACAAGGAAGGAGTAACTGTAGAACTGTCTGAAAAGCCAGGGAGGAGGGAGCATTTGTCTTGTGGCTCTGCAGTACAGAGAGTTTATTAACAAACCCTTCCAAATTTCAGCCTTGGAGATAATAGGACAAGACATACTTTAAATAGAACCAAAGGGAAAACAAATTCGTAACAGATGTTAGGAAATATGTAAATATATGTTTATATTTACATATAAAGCCCTAGCCCTCGCCTGCCAGGCGAGATTGCTAGGACCAGAGTGTGTGTCATCATCCCGGCTGCACTGGGAATTGTCGAAAATATTTCTTTAAATGTTCTCTGTTGTTCTCTTCAGCTGCACGTCCCACAGCTTGACGGTTTCATCAGAAGATTCCTTGAGAGGAGGGATCTGCTGCCTGAGAAGAGATCTTTGCTAAATTCCCATACAACTCAGTGTCACAAGGAATGTTCAGTTAGCTCCAGCCCTTAGAAACCCCAAGGTAGTTAAACCCCTTGCCCTCCCAGTAAAAAATTGTGTCAGAGTGGAAAGAGACAATAGGTAACAGTTGAGTACTACATCCCCAGATGGTGCAAACTGCTGTTGACCCAACATGGACAAGCATCCAGCCTTAAAAAGTAAATTCCTATCATTGTGAAATTGTGGTTGTATCAGTGGGAATGGCATCAGGCCCCACATGCTCACCATTTAACTTCCCCATATGAAGAGTTCTGTATTTACAAAAGTGGTGTTGGAAATATCTGGTATCTTTAGCCTTACCTTAGCTGGCAGGGGTCTTTCAAATCATTGACACACTGGGGCATTGTATAAGTTTCTGCTTCCAAGACTTTTGCAAAATGGAACAATTCTTCACCTGAATAGGGATTTTATCATTGGTGGTGATTTTTTAGGAAATAAAAATGTTTTTAATTTCTCAGGATTGTATGACTTGGAGTACTGCTTAGACAACAGGGAGCTTCAGCCCCTTGTAAACAAGACACTTGCAAAGGTCCCAACAGCTGAACATTATAGTTCAGTAAATCTCTCATTTCCTAAAGGAAATGAAGTGGTACTGTGGGTCAAGTTTCTAACGTGGTTTTATCCCAGCATATCCCACCATATTAGTCTGGATAGGCTTAGAAATTTTTCTCTTTTGACATTAATAGAGAAGACATATACAGCCCAGACAGGTAGCACATGAACAATGTCACCTGGTCTATGAAGAAATAATTGCAGTTGCTTTTTACTACAGCCAAAATGCTGTTTTCTGAAAAGTTCCAAATTATTGTCCTGATCTGGCAATGACTAAGGTAGGTAACTCTGGAAGAAACAAAACTATTGTTGATTACAGAAAATGAGGCAGAGTGGGGGCTGCGTTTCAGCTTCGTGAAAGAGCAGAGGGATGGTCTTCTCTTGCACTGGAGATAAGTGAATAAATTAATTTCTTTCTGGTGTTACATTCTAAAATTGGAGCAGATTTACTGGAACTTTCCTCATTCCTTTTCCCATGGCAAGAACACGTAGTTTGGTTTGCTCACAAGAGTTGCAAATTTACACCTTGTCACCATTTGCAACAGGACTGCAGTATTGCACAGAGAATGGGATCCTGCTCGCTAACTTGAAGAGGGAGAGCTCTCAGAGCCCCTCCAGGGAGCCCTGGTACAAAGACAACTGTGGCGTGAGAGAGGGATCAGAGTCCTTAATGTGCTTGAATGGGGCTGTCAGGGACAGCTTTTGTTAAAGGTCTGCCATGCAAAGAGAAGAAGATTTGCATATTTTCCCCTCTGACATAAGTGCACTCCCCAACACCTGCAAAAGCACTCTTGCCACAGAAACCATCTCCAAAAATACTTCAAAAAATACATGTGTTGTGAGCAGACCTGATTGCTTCAAATAGCAGAAAAGCCTTTTTTTGTCAACACACTCACTAGACCTTAATTAAAAATGTACTGTTCCACTGCAAAGTTATCTGGCTTTTCTTGTGGCAAAGCTGGTACTATTGAGACAGGAATTCCCACATCTAGTTTACATGCTTTCCCCCCTTAAACCTTTTCTTCTGAAGTAGCCTTGGTTAAAAGCAGAAGCAATGTCCTCCAGTTATAGAAACAATACTCAAGTCAGTCTGAGAAATGGAACAAGAATTACATCACTAACGACCAGTCAAAGCTTGTCCACACAGCCTGCATGAACATTCCATGTCTAGTGGCAAATTCCCAGAAATACTGTGAGACCATACTGACTAACTGCCCCCCCTAGAAGGAAATGTGTTGGAAGTAACAGAAGTCTCTAGATTGATTTGGTCCTCTGCCCTGGTATATGTACTCTTTGCTACGAACAAACATTTGGTTGGCTGGTTTCTGGAAGGAGAGAAGAAAGCCTCAGAGCTGCTACAATAAGTCTGCAAAGTTCAAAAGAGAGATTTGATTTTTCACCACAAAAGTATCCATACTCTCATTCACATGCATGGGAATAGGAAACCTTTGTTCAGATCCAGCCAAGAAGAAATAAACTATTGTTGGAAGGTCATTTCAGCTTGCTTTGAGGGGTGAGGAAGAACTAGAAAAAATAACCAAATGTAGTTGTCTTACCAGTGATTACAAATACTGTCTTTCATCAGAACAGGCAAGTTTTTGTTAGAAATTTCTATTCTTGTGTCGGACTAATTCATTGTAGGTTCAGGCTAGAGGTTCTATAAAACTTTGAGCTGCCATGGTTTCTGAGGGTCCCGCTTGAGGCACTCCAGTGAGGTTTGGTTTTTAGAGAATTTGGGGTTCCTACGAGAACACAGCCAATGCAGGCACTCGATCTGCCTTGCAGATCTTGGTATTGATATTTTGAAGCTTTACTTGAATTTCATGCTCCACCTTAAGCTAGATCTACCACCAGGTTGGCAGCAACCACATTAAGTCCGTCTTCCAACAATCCACCACCACTTTTGTAAAGAAGAGTCTTGCTACAACTAATAAATGCATTTTAAATGGAGGGTGGGGAGAGGAGACATGTCTTTTTTATGAAGTCTTCCCCCTTACCTGTCCCATATGAATGCTGATTCAGTAAATTACTCCTGTAAATAACTTTAACATGTTTAAAGGTAGGCCTGCCCATTCCTTGCTGACTCAGGGCTATGGCTTTCTATCTGACAACGAAGTGCTATCCAGGAAAATCAAAGGTCAGTTTTCAGTATTATTTTTTTATGTGAACTCAAAGAGGCTGGCAGAAATGCTTCAGTAGAGATTTTCTTGAAAAAACTGAGCAATATTATATATCTGTCTTTAGCAAATATGAAGCTTTGGTACAAACCACAGCTTGCTTGGCTATGTCCTGTTTTCTTCTATGTTGAGTATTTATTCCTGCAGATAAATGGCTTGCAGTAGTCCATCATACAAATGGTCATTAACAAATCAAAGCTGAGATTTTCTAAAACATTCAGCATAAGCCTGGTTATGCTCTTGTTCAAGTTAGCAGCAAAACCCCAGAGATATTTTTTTTCTTTTTTCAGCAGATAGCCCCTCAAAAGCCTATCCTATGCCTTTGCCCCAGAAGAATAGTTTCCCATTTCTGGTAGGATCATTATAGGAGTTATTGCATAAGGAATGAACACTTTGGCAAGATAATAATGACAACCCTGATATTCTCTTATATAATTATGGATTCAGAAGGAATTAAGTCAACAAGCTTAGTGATGGAGAGAAAAGCTGAAGAGGCTGTTTCACTACATCCAGAGTCACGGTCATTTTTAATTTTGTAGCCCATGAAATCTTCCCTGCTGTAGTGGACAGGTCATCCTCGCCTACATATAAAATGACTGGATTTATGTGCAGATTTTTCTTTCCTAAATGGCATAGATAGACTCCTTAGGCTATGGTTTAAACTTCTTAAAAAACCCAACAAAAATAATAAAACTGACCTTTAAACTGCTTGGTTTCTTTTTAAGTGCCAAAGCAAAATAGAGGAAAAGAACCGGCAAAGCCAGGTGGATTTTGCACAGAGTCTCTGCTCACCTCTAGCCATACTGAGTTTCCTTGTCACCCCATAGGCCGTGTAGCATGTCCCAGCATGGGTGCAGGCTGGACACATCTGCAGCAACCTCCACCACAAGCCCAGACCTTGCTCCAAAAGTGCCATCAGACCCCAGAAACCTCCAGGATCCCTATTACTTTGTCCCTCCCAAAATATCTTGTGCACCACACACACCTTGAGCTGAATGATCTCCTCGGGGGTTTTTTTGTACCCCATTTCCACCACTGTTTTGGTTTTTTTCCTCGAAGGGTAGTCTGCTGCTGCTCATTGCTAATCAAGGGCCAGGGTGCCCAGACCATAGGTTTTCATCCATTTTGTCCAGGCTAATTTGATTTGAGAATTCCTGCCAGCAACAGCAGAGACCAATTCTTAATCGGACATCCCATCCCATGGTTCATTCCTACTGGCTCCCCTAAGACAAGGCTAATGTACACCTGCTGCTGCGGAAGGCAATTTACTTTAAAAGTCAATAGCCAAGTTCAGGAAGGCAGGAGGGGCTGAGGCGGTCCAAGCAGTTGGTTTCCATGCTGGGAATCCCCATTAGGCTGAACAAAATCTCCCTTGTTTGGTGAGCAAGAAGGGAGAGTCACATCGGGACACTTCAGACCTGCAATAACCTGCACAATAGCAGCCTCTGCTCCTCCAGCCACAGCAGATGGGGAGGTCGGCTTGCCTGCATCCAGATGGATTTCTCTCAGTCGAGTATCTGCTCCTGGCTGTTCATTCAGCTTCCTTCCTATTCGTAAAAAGGAGTAATGTTACAGTATTATTTTTATTTTAAAAAGGCGAACTAAGAAATAAAACTGTAGGCTGCATCTTCTGTGCACCCTCCCATATTTTTTGATCGCTGCTGTCTGTGTGGAGCACATTGTGGGTTGTGAACTCCTTGTGGGGGTACAGCCGCACGTACACAGCTATGCAATTTTTATGTGCATTTATATAACAGACCTTAGCTGAGCACAGCTCTGACTGATGTCATGATTGCTCATGTCAGATGCCTCATGGTGTCTTTCAGGCCTTTGTTCCACTTTCATGATGACTATGGGGAGTGGTATTGGGCAGATCTTGCAAAACAAGTACCATCGTCAGCAAAAGAAATGGAAGTCAGCTAGGATTTTGCTTCTGTCAGTGAGTGAAATCTGCAGTTCAGGACATTCTTAGCTATTGTAATAACAAAAGCAGCTCCCTCTCTTTTCATTTTCATTTACTTGGACTTGACTTTTTCTCTCAACTTTTCCCTACTTGAATTCCTTATGAACTTATTGTGCACTAAACCAAGGAAACTGGAGACCTGCGTAACAAAATTACTGTCTTAGTGATTTTGGGTACAGATCCATTCTCATAGGAAAAATTGCGAAAACAACACAAGCCACTGAAAAAATTGAGAATTTTTTCTTTGTCCCTTCCAATTGTAATTAAAGCATTTTGTTTAAATTTCAAAATATCAAAAACTTCAAGCAGCCACACTGATCAGTCATTCTGCAGCTGTATTTAGAGGAGACTTGAGAATTTGTACGTAAGAGGCCTGAAGAACAAAGACTTCTGCCCTCAGGAAGGATATTAATATTGAAGGAGGCCTATACTTGAGCATGCTTCCATCCCTGCTTCAGGAGATTTTCTTGCAGCAGGGATTTTCCTGCTTCAGTTGCTAATTTCCCTGAAGGCATTTTGATAAGTAGGATTCCTCTTTACACTTTTTGTCATAGCTACAGTATTTGAAGGAGCTGAAGTGAAAATCTACAAATCTGTGTGCATACAACGAAGGAAGGAGCTGTTAGTATATGCTTAAGGGCAAACAGAGGATTATCTTATAATCTGCTCCTTTTGCTAAACAGAAGTTGTACA